ATCGTAAATAAAGTTTTACTCAATAATAACAGACAATAAGTTTTCAATTGAAAACAATTAATGACTCATTAATAATGAGAAATAAAAACAAAACATTAGTTAATAAATAAGTGATTATAAAAAAAAGTTGTAATAAAAATAACAGTAAAACTGAGCACTCATTCAATGAATAAATGAATTATCGATTAATAACACGAAAATCAAAACACAATTGAATAAACACTTCACTGAAATCGGTGTCAAAAGTGGTCTCAAAACAGAGATGTGTTAATCAATTGTTTGCAAAAACTTTTAAACACAACAAAACAAACAGTGATTTTAATGGTAAGACAGATATGTGTCAAACCTGTGGCCAACTCACCAACAGTTCAACGTTTATAACAATATTAATACTGTTTTTAATCACAATTAAGTAATGCTTAAACTTTATATATCAGGTCCGCCAATAAGTGGTGGCGTAAACCCTGTGTGAAGTCCACTGTTTGGTTGTGTCCGTCGACTCGGATATAACGGTACAAGAGTTGGCCCGCAATACACAACACAACCAAAGGCTTAACAGCCAATACAGTACTGACTGAACGCTTACTCAATAATGTTATGATTTTTTGCCGACACATAACAGAAACGCCTCAATACAAGCGTATAGTTTACTTTTTAAAGGGCCTTAAACTTCACGTATTAGTCACTCAACTCTGACACTCCCGCGCAGCTCATTGGCAGTCGCTATGGAAACACATGGGGTGACTGTCTGTGTGGCCAATCAGGCGCTAGCATGAGCTGATCACATGCGTTTTGGCGCCCGGTTTGACTTGCCCTGGGTGAACTTTGTTTTTTTTTAGTTTGCTATAACTGCAAACACATTAATTTATTGGCTCAATAATTTATTGGCTCTGTATTAACTTTACGAGTGATATTTTGTAGTGTACATAAATAATGTCACCATTTATTATACCCCTCTGCCACATATACTGCCAGAAAAATATTGTTATATACTGTACGTAATGTATAGGAGAGGGCGGCACCCAATAAATTATTGAGCCAATAAATTAATGTGTTTGCAGTAAACTAGTTTTTAGTAAGAGTTATTTATTATTATAATTACATATTGGTTATAAATATTATTTAAAATTATTATACAATGATAATATATTTATATTGTGTATATAAACTACATTTAATTTGTTTGAAAAGTATTTAGTTGAGATTATTAACCTTATTTAAATCTACTGTATAGTTATTAATTTGCTTTCAATCTTTGTTTGGTAATAAAATATGAGTTAATTTTTTTTATAAAACTTTTAAATTAAAATTTATTTATAATAAATTTTATAAATTCATACAAATATAAAACAGTTATATATTTATGTTAAGGAAATTTAATATACAATAAATAGAAAAATCGTTATAATATTAGAATAGTATAAGAATAAGGGTTTAAATAGTTATACAATTAATATATTATAATAATTATAGTAATAGTAATAATAATAGTTAAGTAATTAATTGACTGGTATTTAAGATGACATAAATATCTGTTCACTAATGAGTGGATGTTATTGAGGGTAACGATAAGTAACTCAAACAATCAGACACTTAACAAAATTACTGTTTAATGTCTTAACAAATGTTTTAAGTGTTAATTAATTAATAATAGTTATAATCTAGATAATAGATCTAATCTAACTATAAGTTTTTGGTTAAATTTATAAATAATTTGTACTCTAAATATATATTTATGTAAATTTTGTATAATTAGAAATCTATTCAATAATATTTAGTGTCTCTAAGATTCAAACTCTTGATGAAAGTGTCCAATTCGTGCTCGTATTCAGTCTTATGGTCGCGATAGTGGAGGACATGTGTCGATCGGTCCCAACACTTGTGCCGCACATTATGGCCGCTAGCATTGACAGTGCATTGAATCTGCTTATCACTCACATGTCTGGCTACTCACACCACTGCTCAGTAGTGCTGTTTATCGATTACAGTCAGTATTGCATAACACTATGAAAATATTGCGAGCGGTTTATTGAGTAAGCGTTCAGTCAGTACTGTATTGGCTGTTAAGCCTTTGGTTGTGTTATTGCGGGCCAACTCTTATACCGTTATATCCGAGTCGACGGACACAACCAAACAGTGGACTTCACACAGGGTTTACGCCACGACTTATTGGCGGACCTGATATATAAAGTTTAAGCATTACTTGTAATTGTGATTAAAAAACAGTATTAATACTGTTATAAACGCTTAACTATTGGTGAGTTGGCCACAGGTTTGACACATATCTGTCTCACCATTAAAATCAGTGTTTGTTTTGTTGTGTTTAAAAGTTTTTGCAAACAATTGATTAACACATCTCTGTTTTGAGACCACTTTTGACACCGATTTGTATGAAGTGTTTATTCAATTGTGTTTTGATTTTCGTGTTATTAATCGATAATTCATTTATTCATTGAATGAGAGCTCAGTTTTACTGTTATTTTTATTACAACTCTTTTTTTTATAATCACTTATTTATTAACTAATGTTTTGTTTTTATTTCTCATTATTAATGAGTCATTAATTGTTTTCAATTGAAAACTTATTGTCTGTTATTATTGAGTAAAACTTTATTTACGATTAATTGGGAAAATAAAACGAAAAAGTTTTTGCCTTTTATTCAGTGTTTTATTTTGCAATGAATTGTTTGCCGCGATTTATGGCCGCAAATATGTCCACAAAAATGACCGCAAAGTTGTTTACAAACCAATTGAAGTCAGTATTGATATCGCAGTCCAACACTACTGGCCATAGATTTGCCGCTAATATCGCTAATAAGGTATTGAATTCATTATTAATTTTAATTAATTGATTGTTATTTATAATTAGATTATTTAAAGACCTAGGTCAGAGACCCAAGTAATCATTATACTGTAATAATATTGTGTATATAATGAGTTCATTTATTTTAATATTTAAATTTACGAAATGTTGATGAACTACTATTTTTAGCACTTATTATCAGTATTGCAATTAAAGTTTGTAACTTAATAAAAAAAAGTTTAATCATGATAAATGTTGTTTACCCTGTTGTATAGTGAAAGTGTGTATAGAATCGTATGATTATAACCTGATGGTTTATTTAAATTTTAGTTTTCTATTAAAATTTTTATAAAAATTCATTTTGTTATTTAACATGTACAACTTATATTTTTGATAAAAACAGGGCTTCAATTGCCGAGCAGTCATACGACAGGTGGATAAACCCTTTTAATTTTGGCTTTCTATTTGACATTGCTGAATAAATATTTTATTGTTATTATTATTAATGATTGATTAATTCGTATATGAGTTGCAAAACATAGCATTTAATGGGAAATAGATTTTTGTTATTTCTTTTAATACTTGCATTCATTTGAAGTATAGATTAAAACAATTATTACAAAGTATTAAAACAATTTATTTCTCATTGTTTTGCCCAAAATTAGACACAATTAACAACCAGTTATGGCTCACCGAAAATCCAGGCCAACAATAAGATCATTTTGCCGAAGAATATTGTCCTCAGACACTGTTCGCCGAGCACTTCGTACGCACTCTCGTTGGACACGGGGTTCTCAGAGTCGATGCCTATGACAACAACCCGACGGCCACTCACTATCATCTTCTCGTGGATGTTAGCGAAGGACAAACACGTAGAGAAATACAGACAATTGTGGTATAAGAGAGGCTTTGATGTGTTGACTGTGAGGACATCACCCTTTGATCTGTTGGTGCCTCCGCTCGGCGGTCAAGTGGTGGCCAAGAATTTAGCCCAAACTTTGTCACAACTGAACGCTCAGTATAACGAGATTGTGATCCACGCCTTCTCTGTCGGCGGCTATCAGTTTGGTCTGACTCTGAATGAGTTAATCCGATCGCAACAGAATCAGCACATCTTGGACTCAATTAAAGGCATTGTAATTGATTCCATGGTATTCACCGAAGACTGCGCGCCCGGACTGTCCCGAGCGGTCACTTTGAATCCAGTGGTGCAGCCGATGATTGAGTCCACGATTCATGTCTTTCTTAAGCTGTTTAAAAATACTGTCAAATATTACGACACGGCTTACTATATGATCGCTAATCCGGTCGTCAAATATTCTGGTGATTTATCCTTCGTTTTATTAATTCATAGGATTTTAGTATTGATTTTGATATTTATTTGTGATTTTAGGCCTATTTTTCTACTCGAAAGACGATGTCGTGAGCAGTATTGAACAGAACCATCGAGTGATGAACAATTGGATCAAATTGGGACATAGGGTTCGGTCTAAGTGTTGGGACACATCTACACATGTGCTCCACTATAGGGACCATAAGTCCGATTACGAGCAAGAATTGGATGACTTTCTCAAGAATTTGAAACTCAGAAACTCGAAGATATAGACGAAACCCGAACGGAACAGTTCGGTGACAATCAATGAGTTAAACATATAATTTATTTACGCAATTGATTGCAATAATATTGGATTCAATTTTAGCTTATTTTTTTACCTTTCACATTTTAATATAAATCTATTTTTCTTAAAACCCGAATTCCTATTGTTTTTTACCCCAGAATTGATTGCTTTTTTTTACCGCAGAAGAATTCTATTTAGTGATAATTGCTTCCATGTATTTAGCCATAAAACACGCCGTGAATTGACCCATAAATGTGTTGCCTTTAAAAATTATGTATTTATTTATGATATTATAAATTTATGAATTTATAGTGTAATTAATTTATTAAAACAATTTCTAAATCACAGATATATTAACCGTAACTTTAGTACCCGTTAACGGATTTGTTGTTCAAATGATATATTACTTAATTAATTGAATTTATAAAATAATTTATTTACAAAAACAAAATACTGTTTTTCATTAATTTATTCATTTGATAGAAATTTAATCATTGAATTGTATTTCAACTCTAAATAATTGAAACATTGCATTAGAAGTCAATTTTGTGGTCGTATTCCTCGTTATTTAAGAGCAAATGTTTGCATAATTCAAATATACGGAACCGTGGAGTGAAGACTTGGGCGACAGGCGTCTCATTGATGTACACGTGAAGAGTGGCATCTGATCGGCGACTCCGACTGATGAGGACATTGAGCGCCAGTATTCCCATTTTGGTCTTACGGACGTCAATGGTGTGCAAGAGATGACAGTTGGCTACGATATCTGCGATGCATTTGTCGGTCACATATCTCTGTCCGCGAAGATTGAGTTTTCGCAAGTTTTCCAAGCGCTTGATGTTTGCGGCGATTTCGTCGGTCACACAGATGTGAAAGTTTCTGTTCAGTCCACTCGACCACAGCTCCAGACACTCCAACTGCGGTACGTATCGGGCGATGGCGTCGATGGTGTGTGCGGTGATCAGTGTCTGATCCAGTTGTAGGCTCTTGAGCTCAGGACACGATCGCAGCGCTTGTATGCAGTTATAACTAATGTTCACTTCGCTCTGTATAGCGATATAGAGATGTTTCAAGCGGTGAAGTTTTGCCACATTTTCCATCACATAATAGACTTCTTCGTCGTTTGTGTCGCTTTCGATGGACAGACCGAAGGACTCGAGAGCCGGCAGTTTGTCACAAATAGCCTCCACGGCGTTCACATTGATTTTCATCACAAACAGGCGCTTAATGTTTGCCGTGGTTTCCGATAGACCCTGAAAGGCGTCCGCATTGAGTACATTTCCGGGCATTTCTAGTTTGGCCAACGCTTGACCGCCGCTGATGTCGATAGTGTGGCCGTTAAACTCGGCGCTCAGTCCCACGTCGTTCACAATCGGATCCGAGTTGTAGACAATGCCCCGAAAGCACTGCGAGTGAAGGATAACGGTCTCGATGTGCGACCATTTGGTGAACATTGACCGCAGACTCTGTTCCGTGACGTGAAGAATGAGAAAATCGACGTAAAAGTACTTCAATTGCGGAAACTGTTGTCCCATTTGCAGCACTTCCTCGTGAGTGATAAACAGCGTCCGGCCATTCATTGAACACTCGCTGAACTCCAGCCGCAAGTACTGCAGTGTTTGCGTACAGTGTTTGGTAATTGTGTCCAGTATTTGGTTATTGCATTTCGTGTACTTCAGACACAAGCAAAGTGTGACCAAATTGTTGTACTTCGCCATCACTGTCATCAGGAACTGCTTGTCTTTGGCGTCCGATCGGCCCAACAGATCAAACGACGCCATCCTTACGATCGAGACTTTGGTTTTGCGTAAATTCAAGTCACGGATCCGTTTGTCGTTCAGTTCATAGTCGACGATAATTACACACAATCGCCGCTTAAACGACATATCAATGATCTCTTTCCATAGTTTACAAACTTTTTCAGCATTTAGTTTGCATTTAAAGTCCAGATAATAAGTCAATATATGATAAATGAGATTTCGGGGCAATTGATTGAATGGGAAAGTGTTTGCGTTCACAGCCCCCGACCCCACATGTGTTGGATTTACCATAATTTGGTTTACAATTTCATTTCAAACCAATTATAATCAACGGATTCGTTACAAACCTTAGACACCGTTAGACTATATGCAACAATACAATAATTGTAAAATGTATGTTAAACTCGGTCACAATTATTGTCAGATAAGTATAAAGTAATCAAATCATCATTAAATGACAACAATTGAAAAATCATGTAAGACTAGTCTCACAGATTTGGTTAACACTAGTCTCACATATTTAAACAAACAAAATGCCCATATTTTCAGTTATACCGTATATTTATTACTATAAGTTTTATTTAACAATTCTTTAATTTATTTATAAATTTAAATCAATTGTATGAAAAGCTATAAAAATTCAAATTCTATTTTAATCGATACAAGATTTAATGGTTTTCTTTAGATCCACAAACTCTGGGTCTTTAAGTGGAGGCAAACAATTGTTGTGATTGTGACCACTATTACCATCATTACAGTCATCGTCGCCGCCGACCAGATGTCCAGTTTGTGGTTCGGGCGCTGTATTCAGTAATTGCCAAAACTGTTTGCACTTTTGGCTCTCTTCGCAAAACTCATTAATTTGCGACAAAGCCCTGTTTTGAATCACTAAAAACTCTTGCCATTTGATGCCATTCTGTTGTCTATCCATTTCCATCAATGCCGTCATTTCAACGGGAATTGCATTCACTGGCCATCGATTGTACACCTTTTCCATCAGCTTTTGGTGTGAATTCAGTTTCTCTCTAAAGTATTTGGCGTTACGTTTGGGTTCGTCTGTAAACTCAAAGCCTATCTCCAGATCTGCCCGAAGTAAACGCCGGTTCCCGTCATTGAAAACGATTGATTGCTTGTATTGTCCGCCTATTAATGGCATTTGTCGGACGGCATCCACACTGACATCGTTTGATCGGATTTTGTTGCTGTCGTATAAATAGTTTAGTAATTGTTTGCGTTTTGTTTGATAACGAGTTAGCGTTAAATTGATGCAAAAGTTGTCGCAGTTTTTGCTGAATTCGTGAATCACTTGTTGATTGATTTGCAGTTTATATTTCGGTTTTAGTGTCCATTCGCTGTATTTTAGGACAATCTTCTGCTTCCGCTTCCTATCCATTGATGTCGTTATCGTTAACTCAATGGTCGGGTCGTCGGCGCCACTGTTTGTCTCGATGTCCGGCCAAACCTTTGCCAACTTTTCGGCCACAATAGTAAGGCATATGATCTTCACTTTGAGGTGTGGCTTATATTTCAACACTTTTGATGTCTTGTATTTGTGGAACTCATCCAAAACCAAACGGTCGTCAAATTGAAGACCACTTTGTTTGAGAAAAATGGTGCAAAACTTGAGATAATTGTCATCGAAATAAAAACTCTGTCTATTGTAGAGAATAGTAAGTAATTGTTTGACTAAAATCTCGGTTTCAAACTTTTGTTCACTATTTGATCGCACTTTTCGTAAACTATTGTCTAATGTTTTGCTCATTTTATACATGTCTTAACGATAACCAACTTTAAAACTCATACACTTGTTATCCGTTGACTGCAAATCATTTGATTGTTTGATTATATGTATAATTTTAAATCAAATTGTGATAAACAATCAAATCATATGATTCTCGAGATTAAAGATTTTAAATCTCTTATCAAAATCGCTATCAAATCCATAATCCCATCAAATATTTGCCATTAATCGCAATAACAGTTAATTTAGTCCTCAAAACGAGTTTTCAAAATTATGAACAAAACTTTGCAAATGTTTTCCAAATCGGAAGACAGCGATGATATGTCGCAAGAAATAGATAAATACAAAATTTATTTCGTTATTATTGTTATCATTTGCATTGTGTTAACGATAATTGTGTGGTTTGTAATGAGAAACCGTAGGTTTGAATTGA